GCAGGAGCAGGAGCAGGAGGAAAGGAAGCAGCGACCATGAATCACCTGTAGTTTCGTGAAAAGGCCTATGAAGGGTCGACTAACGTCGCGGAGAAAGCGAAAAGGGAGCGTTGAGGTCTAATGCGGCCGTTGAATGAGAGACTCCGCATACATCCCGATCGTGACCATCATAATCTTCATCATATCGGTCGCTGCAGCAGCTGCTGCCGTCCTGAGAAGGCGCGAGCCATGGCGGGCAATGATGATGAGGTTAAACAAGGGAGGGCGCAGAGGCATGCAATACCTAGGCAGGGAGGGAGGTAGTGAGTGAGCAGGGAGCCAAGCCCTGCACACACTCACACACTGAAAGTGAGCTTATGCACGCGGGGCGAGAGGACCGGTGTCTGCGAGAGGGTGCAGGGGAGAACAGCGGCAGACAAGCCCTTAAGCTTCCCTACACGCCCAATTGGTAGACGCACGCGCTCACACTCGGGTGGTCAGGCAACAACCTGCTGCCAAGCCTGAATAAGAGCCTATACGACGGCCGGCCAATCAGCGAGCGCCATGCGATAGCTCTAGGGCCAGAGCACACGCGGCGCCGCGGTATCGATTGCTCTGCCTGCAGACACGTCGAGCGCGTATAACTGCGCGTGGGCTGAGCAGCAGTCAGTTCACGCATCCGACGCGCCCAGCCAACGTGGGCGTTGGCATGGTGACAGAGCAAGGAATGTCGAGGGGGGGGAGGGAAAGAGAGGTTGAGAGGAGGCGAAGTCACAGGCCAGACGAGGAGTTGGGCGGTGGCGACGGCGACGGCGGCGGCGGCGGACGCAGCCATGGCATTAAGACAACTTTCCCCGGTAGTCGTGCCAGCGCCGAGTGGTGGGAGGAGGGCGAAGAAGACTACAACGAGGAAGACGCATGATTACACCAGCAAATATGCCAGTCATTCTACTCCCGTTCCTGTGCGCTCTCAGCCATTTGCGTATTTGCCCCCCGCCAGCATGTATATAAGTGCACACTGAATACCTTGGAGCGTGCGAATGAGCTTCGAAAAGGGGGGAGAATGCGAACGAGTCGGACGGAAATCGTCACCGTCAGTAGTTGTTCGAAGTTAATTGACGTGGTCAGGTTCTCGTCTCACTGCATGTCACCGTAAACCACAGGACAAGCTGATAGACCAGGATAAAATCTGGAAGCCCTGAACGACGAAGATAAGAAAAGCGAGAGGGAATGATGACACGTACACACAGTGACCAATCGGGAAGTGTCGGAAGCACGTGCGGCGACAAATCGGCTGAAGTCAGATTGTGTGCTAACTCTCATTCCCTTGAACCTCACGTTTTCGGCCGTACTGATGTACGCCTACAGTGAGCGGCTGTCTGGAGTCATCAACAACAACCGAACCGACAGACAACAGCCCATCATCCGACGTATCCAGGTAGAAACAAAGGCGTGCAGAGCCAGGGTTTGCAACCTCCTATTCGCGGAATGACTGTCGCTGAGTACCACAACTGAAGCGGACATGCAGCCGATCAGGGGTCTCTTTGTTTCAGGCCACTCAAACTTCGGACTGACCGCTAACATGGCGAAGACAGCGACGCAGTACAACCGGCGTTAACTGGCCTGAGAGACCTAAAAGCAAAATCAGTAGTTTGAGTGTGCTGCTGGGGTAGAAATTTTTTAAACCAAGCGTCAAGCGCTCAGGACTTCACAACCACAAAAAATGTCGTGACCAGCGCCCAGCCGTTGCCGGGAATGTTAGCACAGCCAACCAACGTTCGAGGCACGAATTGGCCTAGTTAGGCACCTTTCGGATGCGCCGCAATGTCAACACGACTAGCCAACCTTCCAGACCAGAAAACGCTACTACCGCCATCCTCGTTAAAGATACCTCTGCTACCCACCCCCTATTGAGACCACGTTACAGTCCCTGTGCGCTGTGGCTAGACACCTTCGTATCCGCCTCAAAGGGAACGCAGACCCGAGAACGCATGGAAGATCTATCAGGACTGTAGACACAGTACCAACATGCTCCCATTGCAAGCTCGTCGGTCTAGTCAACCACCTGCAAATCCATCATAACGCAACAGGGAAACAAATTCTGGAAACCCCGGCCAACAGCCGTCATGCCGGCTTTTCCTCCACACACTGTCCAGGGACACTCGTACATATATATATGCTGGAAAACGGGCATCCCAAGAAATTTAATTGAAAATAAGTAAGATTCTTTGCGAAGGGAATAAACTTTAATGGGTAAATTTTCGAGTCTGGTTCCCCAGCTCGTCGTCAGACTTTTGGGCTATGTGCAAAAACACTTAACTATTTAACCGTGTCGAACAAGTGATTCTATGGTTTGCCGAAGCCTGCGCCAATGCGCGTCAACGATTTTCGTCATCCCCTCGGCATTGGCTGCGCTCGCTTCCATTTGTCCTTGAAAAATTTGTATGTGGCATCTAAATCGATATGCCGAAAAACTGATAGATCCCTTCAGACTTCAGTTTATCGCAAAGAAGCATACTCCGAGATCATCCTACATTTTGAAAGTAACCACCCCATCTCTCACAAGAGGAGAACTGTCTACAGCCTGCTAAACCAAGCCAAAACACACTGCTCTGATTATCCCAGTTACCAAGAAGAAATAATATACCCTTTCAAATTATTTTCCCACAACGGATACCTACGCCACTTTGTGCGTCATTGCATGAAACATGAGTTTAAACAGAAAGGTATTTCGAAAACAGCGACCACCCAGGCACCAAAAACATTCACCTGGCGGACCCTCCCATACGTAAAAATGTATCAGAACTCATCGAAAGACAGCTGAAAAAGCCTCAGATGCACGTAGCACACCAACCTACAACCACCTTGCGTACACAGCTTGTACACCCTAAGGACAGGGTTGGCTATCTTGATAGGAAAGGTGTTGTCTACAAAATACCATGTTCCAGTTGTGATGCCGTCTATTGTGGCCAAACTGGGAAATCTGCCTCTACCCGCATACATGAGCATCATTTAGCGGTGAGGAGACGAGATCATTTATCTCAGGTGGCTATGCACACACTGGACACTGGACACAAATTTGCATGGGAAAACACTCGCATTGTTGGCGCCTACCCAATAAGAAAAGGCCGCGAATTCCTGGAGGCAATGCACTCAGATGAGGCATGCATCAATCGGCATATCGATTTAGACGTCACATACAAATTTCTCAAGGACAAATGGAGGCGAGCGAAGCCAATGCCGAGGGGATGACGAAAATCGTTGACGCGCATTGGCGCAGGCTTCGATTAACCATAGAATCACTTGTTCGACACGGTTAAATAGTTAACTGTTTTTGTGCATAGCCCAAAAGTCTGCCGACGAGCTGGGGAACCAGACTCGAAAATTTACTCACTAAAGTTTATTCCCTTCCCAAAGAATCTTACTTATTTTCAATATATATACATATATATATATATGCAGAATGATATTACCGACAAAGAGCGCCCCCTACCATATATGCATATATATATATATATCCCGTTCATCATCCCCAAAAGAAGACGAAGAAGAAAAAGGGGCGATTGAATGGACCACAGTGTATTGGTGCTGACGTTTCTGAAACTTTCTCGTTTCCATCATCAGAGTGGTGGGGTGTCTGTTCCTTCTTGCTCGAAGTTGTTCTGCCTCGCCGCCTGTCTTGTGTTATAGGCATGCCTGACGCACGAACTCTGACCTGTCTTCTGGCTGGGGATTGGCTTTGGTCCCTCTGCGGGCGGCACAAACCTCAGAGGGCGATTCCCGAAACTGAAGACCAAGAGCTTCTGAGAATTCGGAAGATGAGGGATATCGTCACCCTGCCCGCCGCCAAAGGACGCTCGACTGTTGTCATGGATAAGACCGATTACACGACGAAACTTCAAAGTCTGTTGGAGGAAGAAGGTGCCTATGAGCTTTCGGAGACTGGAGAGTTCAAGAAGCACGTGAATAGCATAAACAGAGCAATAGACAAGCTGAGGAAGGCAGGAGCCCTCAAAAGAAATGAGGCATTGGCGGCAAAAGCCACAGATGCCGCCATGGCGCGTTTCTACGGCCTGCCAAAAGTCCATAAGCCAGGAGTCCCCCGACGCCCCATAGTCTCCCTACGCGGCACCCCGACCTTTGGACTCTCAAAATGGCTTTACCAACGGTTTCGTTTCCTCACCGAGGGCTCGGAATGGACGGTGAAGTCGGCTGAAGAATTCCTGAAAAGCATCAGAAACCTAGAAATAGAACCAGATGAGATGATGGTATCGTTCGACGTGGTCTCATTATTCACGTCCATTCCAACCGGCCTCGCCATCAGCACAATTGACGAGCTTCTTCAGGAAAAGTATGATGACGTTAACCAACAACTTAAGCGAACGCACATTACTGAACTCCTGGAATTGTGCCTCAGGACTTTCTTCACTTTTGGCGACCGGGTTTACGAGCAGAAGAAGGGAACACCGATGGGATCCCCCCTGTCTGGGTTGATTGCTGAGGCCGTTTTGCAGAGGCTAGAACGACTAGTCTTCCGTTCGTACTCCCGAAAATTCTGGGCCAGATATGTCGACGACACATTTGTCGTAATCAAGAGGAACGACGTTCAGAACTTCAAGGTCCTACTGAACTCAATATTCCCCGACATCCAATTTACAATGGAAGAGGAGAACAACAGCCAATTGCCCTTCCTCGACGTGAATGTTGCAAGGACGATTAGTGGGAGGATAAGAACTACGGTGTACCGTAAGGCGACGAATACCAGACGCATCCTCCAATTCCAAAGTAATCATCCTATTGGTCACAAGCGAAGTTGTGTGAGAACTCTCTTCCAACGAGTTCAAACACACTGTAGCGACGACGACGGGAAAAAGGAGGAGACAAAATACCTACATGCTTTATTCACAGCCAATGGTTACCCACGATCCTTCATACGTGAGTGCCGACGAAAGACTACCCGTCAGCGATCAGACGGTGAGAAGCCGAAGTTTTGGCTGGCGATCCTCTATGTGAAGAATGTTTCCGAGGCGACAGCTAGAATCCTAAACCCTTTTGGGATTGGGGTGGCCCATAAACCGGAATCCACCATCAGACAGCAGGTAATGAGACCCAAAGACCCGCTACCGGCAACGGAACAATCAGCAGGGGTCTACAGCATACCGTGCCAAAATTGCAATGCACGGAATGTTGGTGAAACGGGGAAACGCCTCTGCACAAGGCTGCATGAGCACCAGCTTGCAGTCAACCGCGAGGATAAACTGTCACTGGTATATGGCCACATGCAACAGGAGAAACACAGTTTCGCCTTTGGGAAGCAAGCGTCCTCGGTCGAGCCCATGACCAGATGGCTAGGCTGGTGCTCGAAAGCTGGTCCTCATTTGGCACAATCAACAGGGTTATTGATCTTCATCCGGCCTACCAGGCGCTGCGTACAAGACTCCAGTCAGTCCAGACGGGGCCGACAGTACTGGCGAGCGAGTCGCGGCTCTTTCAACAGTTGTCACCTTCACAGCAGGGGGAAGGAGCCAGCCGGAGGTCACACGACTAACGCGAGACATCGCGCCAACGGCGCGCCCAGACAGCCGAGCGTGATTCGCGCATGCAACGGCAACTGATCAGTCCATCCGATTATGAGGTGAGGGCCCATGGGCACACAGGATTTGCAGCGATTACGACAGCCGGTCAGGGGGCAGAGGTCACAGGAGCGCGCCATTGGCCGCCCGCAGAGGGACCAAAGCCAATCCCCAGCCAGAAGACAGGTCAGAGTTCGTGCGTCAGGCAAGCCTATAACACAAGACAGGCGGCGAGGCAGAACAACTTCGAGCAAGCAGGAACAGACACCCCACCACTCTGATGATGGAAACGAGAAAGTTTCCGAGACATCAGCACCAATACACTGTGGTCCATGCAATCGCCCCTTTTTCTTCTTCGTCTTCTTTTGGGGATGATGAACGGGATAATTTATCAGGACCTCGAAACTTTACTCATGTAGATATATATATATCGCGTTCATCATCTCCCGAAGAAGAAGAGAGGGCGAATCCATGGACCATATTGTATTCGAACTGACGTTTCGGAAACTTCCTCGTTTCCATCATCAGAGTAGCGTAATTGTTGCACTTGCGGGTCTTGAGTTATTCAGTCTTGCCGCTTGTCTCGTATTATAGCCGTGCTGGACGCACGAACTTTGACCTGCCTGTTTGCCGCTGACTGGCTTAGACCTCCCCGGAGCTGACCGCTGATAGGCCAGCGTGACCTTTGTTCCATTTGGGGTCGGCTTAGTTGTGGTCAAATCAACGTGCCGCTTGGCCCCTCCCACGTCAGCCGGTGGACTGATCGGTCGTTGCTGTTCAGGTGAGCAGCATTCAGCTTCGCGGGCGCATCGGTGAGACAGTGTTCGGCTTTGGTCACATGACCTCTGGCCCCCAATTCCGCTCTTTTCCGTGAGCGTTGACTCTCGGTCCCGCGTGCTCGCTTGCCTTACTGGTCCTGTCCGGACTGATCCGAACCTTGCACGGAGTGCTTGGTAGGCGGGATGTAGATCTATAGCTCGGTTGAGTGTACCAGTCGAGGACCAACTTTCGAGCACCAGTCTGGCCATCTTCTCATTGGCTCGACCAATTACCCTCGCTTTCTCAAAGGCAAAATTGTGGTTCAGTTCTCTTATGTGGCCATAGACCAAAGACAGCTTGTCCTTGCGGTTGATTGCAAGTTGGTGTTCGTGCAATCTTGTGCCGAGGCGTTTGCCCGTTTCACCAACATACCTTGCATTGCAATTTAGACATGGTATGCTGTAGACCACCGCCGACTGTTCTGTTATTGGTAGCGGGTCCTTGGGCTTCATGATTTGCTGTCTGATGGTACATTCTGGTTTATGAGCCACGCCAATCCCAAAAGGTTTTAGGATTCTTGCCGTTGCCTCTGATACGTTCTTCACATAGGGTATTGAGAGCCAGAACTTGGGCTTTTCTCCACTCGACCGCTCAAAATGAGGCTTTTTAAGGCATTTGCGTATGAAGGACTTCGGGTAGCCGTTGGCCTTAAAAAGGCCCTATAAGTAATTCATCTCCGCCTTCCTCCCACTGTCGTCGCTACAGTGTGTTTGAACACGTTGAAAGAGAGTTCTGACACAACTGCGTTTATGATCAACAGGGTGGTTGCTTCGGAAGTGGAGGATGCGCCTAGTATTTGTTGCCTTACGGTAAACCGTTGTCCTTATCTTCCCATCTGTCAATCTCGTAACTTGTACGTCCAGGAAGGGCAACTGATTGTTTACTTCCTCTTCCATAGTAAACTGAATGTCGGGGAAGATTGAGTTTAACAATGCCTTGAAAGCCTTCACCTCGCTCCTCTTGATTACAACGAACGTGTCGTCGACGTATCTGGCCCAGAACTTCGGGGGGTACGAGCTGAAGGCCTGCTGCTCGAGTCTCTGCAAAACTGCTTCGGCAATTAGGCCAGACAGAGGCGAGCCCATCGGTGTCCCCTTCTTTTGCTCGTAGACTTGGCCGTTGAATGTAAAGAAGGTCTTACGACACAGTTCTAGGAGCCCGATGATGTTTGCTCGTTTGAGCTGTTGGTCGGTCTCATCATACTTTTCTCGGAGAAGGCCATCAATAGTGTCGATAGCCAGCGCGGGTGGGATGGAGGTGAATAATGAGATCACGTCGAATGACACCATCACCTCATCTGCCTCCACCTCGAGATGTTTGATGCGCGTCAAGAACTCTTCAGCCGACTTCACTGTCCACTCCGAATCCTTGGTAAGGAAACAAAGTCGCTGGTACAGCCACTTTGACAGCCCAAAGGTTGGAGTACCACGTAAGGAGACGATGGGGCGTAGCGGCACCCCCTGCTTGTGGACCTTCGGTAGGCCGTAGAAGCGCGCCATCGCGGTATCACTGGCTTTTGCGGCCAACGCTTCCCTTCTCGTAAGAGCTCCCGCCTTCCTCAGCTTGCCGATCGTATTGTTTATGCTGTTTACGAGCTTCTTAAACTCGCTGACGGTCGATGGCGCATAAGATTCCTTGTCCATCAAGAGGTTGCCTAGTTTTGTATAGTACTCAGCCTTATCCATGACGACAGTCGAGCGCCCCTTGTCGGCGGGCAGGGTGACGATATCCTTCATTTTTCGTATCTTCAGAAGTTCTCGATCTTCTGCTTTAGAAATCGTCATCTGGCGTTTGTGTCGGAGGAGTAAGGTCGACACTTGTTGTCGCACGGAATTTTTGCACTCCTCGTCTGCCTCACACTTCTGGAGCGCCGATTCAAAGGATGCAATAAAGTCTTCTGGTTGAGCATCTCTTGTGCTGAACTTCGCGTCATAGGATAGAACCGCTAGTTGTTGCTGAGTGAAATGATGAGAGGACAAGTTGTGAACCAAGGCACCGTCAGCAGAGGGCTGCTTTGGCGGACTTATTTTCTCAAATTTTCCAGACAACTGGTCATCACGCAACAGGCGATGACGCCGAGCGCTGTCGAGAATTGCCGCTTTGAGGATCCCCATCTCGTGTGCCGTAAAGATCGACTGGCAAGTTGACAAATGATGTTCAATCATCTGGCGGTACTTGTGGATGCGGGCGTGACAGTCTCGTATCAGTACCCTGATCATTTTCTTCTTGAAGTCTGCCATCGTCCGTCGGCAAAGGTCAGTGTTCACAAGCGGTCTATATCTGAGGCATTTAGGTAGGACGTCCTCATCAAGGCACCTGTGCAGGAATTTCAGCTGAGCGTAGGTGGAGGACTCCCGCTTCGCGAAGGTCTCCCATCTGCGTGCTGAGCGGAGGGCCGTGCGCCCATAGCATACATCGATATGCGCAAAGATTCGAGGTCCAGACATTGTATCGCGTTCATCATCTCCCGAAGAAGAAGAGAGGGCGAATCCATGGACCATATTGTATTCGAACTGACGTTTCGGAAACTTCCTCGTTTCCATCATCAGAGTAGCGTAATTGTTGCAC